GATAACAAAAGGCTTCTGAGGGTAGAAAGAGGTGGAAAGATGGTGGCAAGGCTCTGGGGCACTGCTCCAGTGATAGGCCTCGGGTTGATTGTCTGAGAATGGAATATATGGAGCCTTGGGGCCTGGAGGACAGTGGGAGAGAGGGTGACCAAAACTCCAGTGCAAAGACAATTCTCTCTGGAAATGGGAGGCTCTTGAGGCAGTCTGCAGGTGGTCCTAGTTTGGGGGCCTGATCCCAAGGTTCTAAATTTGCTCTCTGACCAACTTCTTGGGAGACCTTTGGCAAATGCCTTCTCTGGACTTAAGGATTCCTGCCTGTAAGGTGAGATAATAAGTCAAGATAACATGAAGTACATTTGGACAGGGGCAGAGGAAAGCGGGGTGGTCTCTGGGGAGTCTGGTTCCTGTTGGCAGCAAGGAAATCCTCATGGTCTTAGCTGTTGCCTGGCCTTGTTTCAGGATTTGACAATTCTGGGAACTCAAAAATCTACCTTTTCCCCCAGCCAGTTCTGAGCTATAACAGAGTCCTGCCTGCAGGGTGCGCTGAGGGCTCACAGCCGACAGAACCAAACTGGAACTCAGGTTTTGTGTTTTATTTTTTAAGAGGGGTGAATTTTGTTTTTAATTTATTGGGGTCTTTTGGCCGCATCTCGCTGAACTTCCCCCACCAAGGATCATCTTGCAGCCCCTCCGGTGGAAGCAGCCGAGTCTTAACCACTGGATTGCCAGGGAAATCCAAGAGGGGTGAACTTTTTGAAATCTGAAGATTTCTGTCCTCAGAATACAATCAATGTACCGGAATTATATGTAATGCCCAACACCAGTTCTCACACTGTCTCTGGAGAGTTAGAGCTATTTTCAATTCCTTTGTTTTCCAGATGAAGAAACAGATCCTAAGAGACTGAGGGGAAAAAATCACTTTGGATCACATAGCTCAAAACTAGCACCTGATTCCTGGGCAGGGCTCTTCGGAGAGGGTTGGTTCTGCTTTCAAGAGTCTGTGGCTGTTCTGCCTCCTAATGCACAATTCCTGGGGAGAATGTCAATTTTGGTTGTATAACTTGACAGCTCAGGACCTGTCAGCCAGAAGGCCCTCCCTCAGCACCTAGCAGAATGCCTGCTGAATGAGTAATTAAATGAATGAATGTGTGAATGAGCCACAGAGATTGAGTCTGCTTTGGTTTTATCAAATAAGTCACCTGGAGTTGGATTTCTTTCCTGAAATTCCCTCAAGGCAGAAATATTCTAAAATGGAAGGGGAGGGTGTGGCAAACAATAAGAGCTCAGAAAATTACCTCTGAGTTGATAAATCATAGCCCCAGATCGGGTCAGGGTATAAAAATATTCTATCATATTGCATTTGGGATTAGAAAATTAATTTATGAAGAATGAATTCAGAACAGATGAGACTTCCATTAGGGTTAAAATCTGTGAGAGGGTCTGAAGCTAAAGGAGCCTCAGAAACATTTCAAACAGCATCTAGATGTACCTTCAGGACTGGAATGTGACTGAGGAATAAAAGAAAGCTTTGACCAATCAGTGGCCTCAACAGAGCTGATGCAAGAGTGGAGAGAAGGGCAACAGGAGGTGGATCTTTCCTGAACCAAAAATACGAGGCATGGGGGAGGGGAGGAACAAACTTGGCAGTGTTTCCTGGGCTGGGAGCTTCAGTGCTGGATTTCCAGAGTCTGGCACAGTGCCTGGTACACACTAGATGGTCAATAAATGTTTAGTGAATGAAAGAGTGAGGGAAGAAGCCTGAGCCCCAACCAGCACATTCGCTGTGGAGGTGGTTTAGTGATTCATCTTTTCTCTGGCTCTTTTTGCTCAGATTCCAACTACCCTCACTACTTTCTGATGATAATTTGGCTTTTCATGGTATAAAGAGGTTCTGGCCTGTCAATTATGGGCCACTTAACAATTATGTTTCTCACTCCCAATTAATATATTGGAATTCTGCTTTACATATCAGTTCCTTATGTCAGCCTGCTTCTTACATATTCAGGTCTTTCATCCGTGATGCAGTGGAGTTTCTGCTTTGGAGTCATTCCTGTCTAGATTTGAATTCTTACTCAATGTATTACTAAGCTGTCTGACTTTTGCCAACACACCTCTCAAGACTCAGTATCCTCATCTGTCAGATGGGGGCATACTACCTAATTCATGATATGGTGGTGAGAATTACATGAGATAACAGATGAATCCTGGACTATCCTTGGAGCTAAGTAAGTAGCAGTATCTGTGTCCCTTCCAAGCTTTCCTTCAAAGGAGATTGGGTCACAAAATCTCATTCAATTGAGAATACCAGTATCTCTTGCTTTTCACAAATTTACTGACTTTGTAAGTGAAGCCTTGGGAATGATTTAGTCACTTCCTTCAAGGTTCTAAAGAGTCATTCTACAGAGGAGGGCAACTCATATTCATTAATATAAAAGTAGTTCCCAAGGACTCACTGATACTGCAGCTCCAATACTTTGGCCACCAGATGTGAAGAATTGACTCATGAGAAAAGACCCTGATGCTGGGAAAGATTGAAGGCAGGAGGAGAAGGGGATAACTGAGGACAAGATGGTTGGATGGCATCACCTACTCAATGGACATGAGTTTGAGCAGGCTTTGGGAGTTGGTGATGGACAGGGAAGCTTAGCATGCTGCAGTCCATGGGGTTGCAAAGACTGAGCAACTGAACTGAACTGAGGACTCACTACATGCTAGTGGGAGAGAGATAATAAGACACATTTCTTGCCTTCAGGGAGTTCTGACCCAGTCTGGTGCAATCAAAAGAAGACATTATATGACCCTGACACAAAGTTTTACTTTTCTGAGTTTAGATTTCCTCACTTTGCAAACTTGGTCAATAACATTCTATTGTTAGTTGGAGAGAAGGGGTAAGACATGCAAATATGATAACCAGACTGCATCAAATTAGAAGACCAATGGTACAAAAAATGTAGAAACAATGTGTTGAGGAGTTAAACAGTGGTAGAGCTTATTTACAGCTCAGTTGAAAAAAGCAATACTTTCTATAGGAAGTGGCATTTTGAAGCTTTCATTCAGACCACAGTTACTAATAAAGGCATTAATTGCTGGGCTAGAGTTCAGTGGCCCGAGATTTGCAGAGAGAAAGGCTTGAAATCAAACAAGGAACATGAAGGTGGCAGGTGATTAGGCTAGAAAAGATATGTTGAGGCAGATCTTGGCAGATATTGAATGCCAGTCTAGGGGTTTGAGCTTCATTCTGTGACTGATGAAATACCAGTAAAGCTGACCTAAACATTTGACATTACAGAGTATATTTTAAAAATAAAAGCTGAACCTGACATATTTGAGGAGGGTAACTTAGAGGGGGATTCAGTCAAAGGAGGATTTAGTCAACAAGGGCATGTTATTGGCAGGATATTTTGTTAGGTGGCATAGGGCAGAAGACAAAGATGTCGAGATGTGGACCCTGTCCTCAAGGAGCTTATAGTCAAAACTCATGTCCACAGAAAAGGGCAACACCAGGTAGACTGTAACAGGTGTTACAACAGAGCCCCAGCCCCAGGGCCTCAGCTTAGCTGAGAATGAGGTTCATTTACCTCTCCCAAGAGTCTGGAGACCAAGTCAGACTTGGGAAGCCACAGAGGGGCCATTGGAGGTCATCCAGTCCACTTGAGCTCCTGCTGGGATTCTCTATCCCTAGTAAACATTACCTTTGAAACAAAAAGTGGAAGCCTGAAGAAAAACTGTCAAGAGGCTGTGGGAAGGAAACAGAAGAAGTCAGCTTTGAGGTGCTGGTAGAAGCGACTTCTCCCAAATGGAGGGTTGAAGGCCAGGAAATGGATGAGATGGGGAGGGAGAGTGTGCCTGGAGAGAGGAAAGATGAAAACAGAAACTAGGGGAACACCCACGTTCCAGGAGGTGGGAGGAGAAAGAAGAGTCAGAGAAGGAGTGGCCAGAGACAGAAGGGAGGAAAAAAAAAAAAAACAGTAGAATACCTTGTCGCAAAGTTTTTAGAAGAGGGGGGATAGAAGGCAAGATGGGAGGACCCAAGGGAGCAGAAGAGGGGAAACTGCAGCAACAGGGTTTGAGATTAGACAAGAAGTTGCCAAGGAGATTTCAATGAATGAAGGCTTTCCCAGAGACTCCACAAATGAGCTGGATTCCCTGTGTCTGGTACATTCTAAGGTGGAGCCTTCCCGGAGGCCAGAAGAACAGGGCTGTGTGCTCTGATCTCCCAAAGATCGGGCGGTCGGCTCTGTAATTAGCACTACCTCTCCTAACCCCAACCAGTCCCTCCAGGAACCGAAAAGCTGAAGAAGGTACTTGGGAGGGATTTCACACCCGTGTATCTCTGGCCCAGCCCGGTGAAGTCCCGTTTCATCATGCAGCTTTAGTGACTGGCGGGGCTGTCACTCTCATCTGGTATTGCCAACCTTCTGACTAAACCCTCTTGCAAAAGTTTGCAGCATTCGCCGGAGGCTGACTACAGCTCCCAGAATTCCCCGGGCACTTCCCGGTGCCGATTGGCTGAGCCCCAGGCTCCTGAGGGCGGTGTTCCCCCGCCTCCCCGGGAAACAGGCATCTGATTGGCTGCGGCGCGGGGGTTTTTGTGTCCCCGCCCTTCCCCAGGGACCGCAGCGGGCAGAGCGGTTCTGCTGGTGTCAGAGCCCGGCAAGCGCTGGCAGTTCCGAGGCGGAGATGCTGAGGAGCGCTGGGTTCGCTAGCAGCGCTGGCTACTTCGGAGTCCCGAGGAGCTCCGGACCGTGAAAATCCCTGCGCCGCGGCCAATCCCGAGGCCATTCACCCCTCCAGAAGCCAGACAAGCGGAGAGTCCAGCGCAGCGGCGGCCGTTCCCGGATCCTGGGCTTTCGGAGCGTTCTGGAACCCCGAGAGACACCCCCGGGGGCTCTAGACGCTCCCCCAGCGGCCCCCAGCCCCGGCTTCCTGCGCGCGTCCGTCTGAAAGCCCCTCGGGTGCACGGGCGGTCGCCGAGCCGCGTCTGGGTCCTGGCGCACACCATGATCGTTGCGGACTCCGAGTGCCGCGCGGAGCTGAAGAGCTACCTGCCCGCGGCCGGAGAGGTAAGCAGCGGCCGAGCGACGCCACTCTTCCCTCGAACCCAGAGCCGCGTCCAAGCTGCGGGTTGTTGCGAGCTGAGTCTGAGCCCCCCCTCGGCTGGAGGAGGGGGAATGGAGCGCGTAACCCGGAGTGGGGTTGCATCAACCGGCAGCCTCGGCCCCCTCAGCCTCCGCCTCCTGCCCCCTCCCCGGGGCGAGGGTAGGATTGTAGAGCCCTCCGCGGCTCCCTCAGACTCCGGGCCAAAGAGAGGGGCGCCTTCTCGAGGTTATCTTGGGTTTGGGCCCTCGTCTAGGGAGTGTTCAAGTCCAGGCAAATCCCGGCGCAGCGGCCGGACCACTCCTCCTCCCCGCCCCCTTCCGCAGATCCCTTCCTCTAGGCTGGGGCTAGAGGAACCGTTTCTAGGTAGAATGTGTACCCGGCTCCAGTGCCCCCGCTCGGTGATGGGAGTACGTGAGGCTGGCGCACGAAGGTCGACCCCGTCCCTCGCCCCCACCTGCACCCCCGATTCTGATTGGGGCCGCGGGAGCTCCGGGACCTTGGCGGACTGCCGGGTATGCCGCGGTGAAAGCTCGCAGAGGGGAAAAATCCTGGCCGCGGCTCCCGAAGCCAAGCGCCGATTTGGCTGTGCTCTACTAACTGGTCTGACGTCCCAGAAGTTTGTTCTGCAGAGACTGTCTTTACAATGAGGCTGGGAATACGGCTGCACCCAATCTGACACCCCCCTGCCTCATTACCACCACCACGGACCATGAACATCTTGTTTATTACGCACCTACTGGATGGCAGGCTCCGGTTCTGCCTTTTCTCTGAGTCCTCAAGACTTAAACAAGCAGAATTTGAGCTATACTGTTGCCGCTCATTTAGGGGATGAGGAAATTGAGGCCCAAGAGGGGCTGTGGAGAGGCTTCCTTGGCTCACCCTGCAGAGCAGCTCATTCTTTGGCTGTGGTGTCTTTAAGATTTCCCAGTGTGGTTCGCTCAGCAGGGAGTTTTGCTTGTTTCTTTGGTTTCCAGGCCTGGAGCCTGGTGCAAGTGTCTTAGTGGGATTGGGAGTCAGACCTGTGCTAGTCCTGAACTGTGATCCTGGGAATAAATGGCTGCACTTTCCTAAGCAGCTTGGTTTCTGGGGGTCCTCAGTTTTCTGTTAGCTTGTCACCCTCCCCTGTCATGGTTTAGGAGCCCAAGTGGAGGAAGGAAAACTGCTCCTGCCTCTTCTCAGCTGTGTGACTTTGACCAAGTCATCTTACTCTTTGAGTCAGTTTCCTTCTTTGTGAAAAAAGGAAAAAAGGAAATAGTTTTCTCTTTTGAGAGCACCTGGGCCCTAGAGCAGACTTGCTCCAGGTCCATGTCCCCCGGCCCTCCTACTTTCTTGCTCTGTGACCTTGGCCAAGGGATCCCTTCTCTGATCAGCAACTTCCTTACGTCGGGGTTTGGCTCTGTCTCCGAGGGATTGTTGGGAGAGTTAACTGAGGAGACATGCAAAGACCAGTGCTCAGTGCCTGGAGCATAGCAACTCAGTCCTGCGTCAAACACGCTAGGTATTGTTAGAATGTGGCCACAGCATGTACTGCCCCTTCCCCAGAGTGTCTCTTGCAAGGGGGTGTCTGAACCCGCCACTCCTGCCTGAGGCGAATGTTGGCTCATCTCTCTTTGGGACAGCGTCTGGGAAGTGATATGGGGAGAAAAGCGAGCTCCAGGTGGACTGGGCAGGCTCTGAGGGCGGGGCCTTTAGATGGAAGCTTGCTAGCTGTCAACAGCAGAAGGGGTTGGGGGAATTGGTAATGTCAGACCCCTTTCTACATGTTCTTCTCTCCCAGGAAAAGAGGACTTTGGGAAGATGTCTGTTTTAAGCAGAGTCTTTTAGAAGACAGTAGGGTGCTGAACTTACAGAGCCCTGTGCCCAAGCCTTAAGGGAAGCTGGACAAGTACATACAAGTACATACAAGGAATGTACAGTCCCCTCAGCTCATGCTGTGACGCACACCCTTTCACCAAGTCAAGGCCCTCAGACACTTCACTCTAGTACTGGGAGTGTGTTCTCAGAGCCCTCCTGAGCTCTTGAAACATCACTGCTTCAAGGAAAGTCTTTCCTTCCCCACCTCTGCATACCTGCTTCCTGTCCCCCTTCTCCATTGCAAGAGCTGTTATCCCAGCTATAGTGTAGCAGTTGTGTAATCAGGCATTTCTTGTCTGTGTACCTTGCCAGACTGGAAACACTGTAGGCCCCATCACTAGCACTGTTCTTAGCACCTAATAAGTGCTCGTAACTATTTGCCGTTGTTGGCTTAGCTGACCCTTGTGAACTGTGCACAGACTTTGAAGTCAGATCTGAGCTTGCCTGTCTGGAACAGGTCTCTGAAAGAGCCTCAGTGAGCTGCCTCTGAAGAAAGGATCAGTTCAGTTCAGTCGCTCAGTCGTGTCTGACTCTTTGCAACCCCATGGACTGTAGCACACCAGGTTTCCCTGTCCATCACCAACTCCTGGAGCTTGCTCAAATTCATGTCCATGGAGTCGGTAATGCCATCCAACCATCTCATCCTCTGTCATCCCCTTCTCCTTGTGCCTTCAATCTTTCCCAGCATCAGGGTCTTCTCCAGTGAGTTGGCTGTTAGCATCAGGTGGCCAAAGAATTGGAGCTTCAGCTTCAGCATCAGTCCTTCCAATGAATATTCAGGACTGATTTCCTTTAGGATTGAAGAAGGGATAAGAAGACCTATTTCCCTCCAGGTGGCTGTGAGAAATCAGCCAGATCGTGGTGGGGAGATGAGTTTATGGTATCACTCACACAATGCCTCTCCCAAAGGAGGACTCTGACTCCCTCTCAGGTGTAAACCCAGGCAAGTATCTTGAATTCAGCAGCCCAAGGGGAGGGGAGTCTCTACCCATGCCCAGCTGGCAGAGTAACCTTGAAGGAGTCTATAACTGAGTCCTGGAGATGGCAGGCCTACCAGGAATAAAGGCTGAGGCTGATTGGGGTGGCGGACAGAACCCTTGCAAGCCAGACTGAGCTGAATTCAAATCTTGAGTTGGCCACTTGTCAACTGTGGCTTAACCTTTGGAACCTTAATCTTTCCTTGTGTGCAGAAGAGACCCCTACTCCCACCCCCGAACTGATGAAGATTAAATGCAACCAGTATGCTAGTGTCAGAGTTAATATGAAAGGGAATTGTGAGTAGACGCGTAAATCAGGATCCAGGCATGGAGTGCTGAGGTGATTGATCCCCTCCTTACAACAACCCTGATGCCTTCTCAGTTGAGTGGCCACCCAGCTAACTGACCTCAGTGTTCTCGCTGCCCGGGGTGGTCCTCTCAGCTGAAACTCATTGGTTTTCCCTCTGCCCCGCCCTAGCTGTGTTGCCTTGGGTGGGTCACCTGCCCCACTCTTAATCCATATAGTCAGGGAAGGGATCTTGCCTTTATCAGGTGTGTGAATGTGTATCCTGAGCCACATGTGGCTATTTCAATTTAGATAAATTAGATTTTATTGAATTTAAAACAGTTTTTTAGCTGCACTCGTCACATTTCCAATGCTCAGCTACTGTGTGTGAAAGTGTTAGTTGCTCAGTTGTGTCCAACTCTTTGCAAACCCATGGACTGTAAACCACCAGGCTCCTCTGTCCACGGGATTATGCAGGCAAACATACTGGAGTGGGTAGTTGTGCCTGTTCCAGGGGATTTTCCCAACCCAGGGATTGAACTCAGGTCTCCTGCATTACAGGTAGATTCTTTACCATCTGAGCTACCACAGAAGCCACCAAGGAAGTGACTTGGGGCTACCATCTTTATTGGACAGTGCAGATAAACAATATTCATCATTACAGAAAGTTTTATTGGACTTGCAGTGGTAAGTACTGGGGTCACAACAGGGAACTTGATCCAGGGTGTGCTCTCAAGGTATGAAACAACGCAGGATGACAAGGGCCGTTATTGGGGCAGCAGAGCCCTTGGAAATGTGGACAGGGAGAAGGAGCATCTCACTCCTGGCGAACCCCAGAGGCGAAGCCTTGGGGCCACTGAGACCTTGAGAAGTTTACAGATTGGGAATCATTTCTGCAGTTGAGGATATCTGATTTGTTTCCTAACCCTGCTACCTCTTTCCTGGCTGAGTGACCTGACCTCTCTGAACCTTATTCCCCATCTGTAAAATGGGAACTCTTCAAGTGCACATGAAATAAAGGTTTAGCCCATGATAATCAGTGTTGTTACCTACCATTATTATTGACTTCCTACCCCAGGAAATAGGGGAGGGCTGGTTTGGAGGTGTCATTTCTTGGCGGTGGCCCCTGCTCTGTCCACTTCCTCTCAGGTTTTGGGTGTCTGGGTTGGGGAAGCATGCAGGGTATTGGAACTCTGGATTAGAATCTACTCAGTCTTGCCCTCAGGGCTTTAAACTTCCCGCTACCTTTGCCTGGAATGCTGGTTCCCTAGATCTCTATGGGTCCTTTACAGGCCCATCAACTCATTTACATATTTGATATTTAGATACCAACTTAAAGGTTGTCTCCTCAGTGGCTTCCCCTGTCTAGGACTGGAATATTGCACATACTTCTCCACCCCATTATACACTCTCTTACTGTATGGAATCTGTGACTTGAAATCCTATTCATCATTTGTTTGTCTTTCTCCTTTGTAAATTCTAGGAAGACTAAGATTTTGTCTTTTCATTCCAGTACTCTTGCTGCCTACAATGTAGTCATCAAAAATATTTGTCAAGGAACTTCCCTGGTGGTCCAGTGGCTAAGACTCCATGCTCTTGATGCAGAGGGCCCTGGTTTGATTCCCCTGGTTAGGGAACTAGATCCCACATGCCGCAACTAAAGATTCCTCATGCTGCAGCTAAGACCCAGTGCACCCAAATAAATAAATATTTAAAAAATTTTTCTTTTGAATGAACAGATTAATTCTGGTTCTATCTGGAAAGCACTTAGCACAGCACCTTATACTTGAGAAAGCAATCAATGAATGGAGTGAAACAATGGCTCTCCCTGGCAAGTTAAGCCAGGCCCCCCCCAATTAAATTAAAATTGCTGGGCCTTGGCATTGGTACTTTTTAAAAAGCTTCTCAAAGGGATTCTACCTGTACAGCTTGGGTTGAGAAGCCCTTGTTTGAAATAACAATGAGGTTAATGATTGCTGACTTGCTAAGTGCTTGCTGTGATAGAGGTACTCATTAAATCCTCATGACTACCCAGTGAAAGTAGGTACTATTGCTGCTGCTGCTGCCACTAAGTTGCTTCAGTTGTGTCCGACTCTGTGCGACCCCATAATTTGGCAGCCCACCAGGCTCCCCCGTCCCTGGGATTCTCCAGGCAAGAACACTGGAGTGGGCTGCCATTTCCTTCTCCAATGTGTGAAAGTGAAAAGTGAAAGTGAAGTCGCTCAGTCGTGTCCGACTCGTAGTGACCCCATGGACTGCAGCCCACCAGGGTCCTCCGTCCATGGGATTTTCTAAGAGTACTGGAGTGGGGTGCCACTGCCTTCTCCAGTAGGTACTATTATTACCCCATAATTCAGAGAGGAAACTGAGGCTCACATTGCTAGCAGGTAATAGGGGGTGGAGTTGTCTTTTGAGCCCAGGCAGTTTGTGTCAAGAGCCCCTATCTTTAAAGTGTACTCTGCTTTATTGTCCAAATCATTATCATCATCTTCACTGAGGCTGATAACATTGGTAGATCCGGACCTATCACGTAAAGACCCACAGGCCTCAGTTTCTTCCTTTGAGAGCTCCTGGGGCAGACTTTAGAGAGGGAAGGGCTTCCTGAAACTGTTCTCTGTCCCTCCCTACCTAGTACCCTGGTGGGCCCTCCCTGTCCCCCCCACCGACCCCCCCAGTTCCTTCCTGCCCTTCCCCACCACACCTGGCTGTGGTTTTCTGTCTGTCCTTAGGTCGCCTGAGGGGGAGGCCCAGTTTGTGGAGTCAGCAATCCTTATCTCCCAGACAGAGCTGTTAGGCCTTTTCTCTTTGGTGAGGGAGGAGGAAAGCTGAAACAGGAGTGCTTGGGGATTGTGCAGGTTTCTGAGCTAGACTTGGCCCAGCCTGGTCTGGTAGATCCCAGAAGTATGGGCTGCAAAGGACCTGAGCAGTCAGCCCCACTGCCTTCTTTGTCCAAGATTAAAGCTCTGAGAGTCTAAGTGACTTTCTCGGGGTCACACAGCTAGTTAGTGGCATCAGAATCGGCACTCATACCGGGGACTTTTGTACCCTTGTTCTTTCCTTGGTGATCTTTCAGAGCCCCAGAACTCTGCCTCCCTCAGGGGGCTTTCCAGTTCAGCCCCTCAGTCCTCTCCAACTCTTTGCAACCCCGTGCACTGAAGCACATCAGGCTTCCCTGCCCATCACCAACTCCCGGAGCCTGCTCAAACTCATGTCCATTGAGTCGGTGACGCATCCAACCATCTTGTCCTCTGTCGTCCCCTTCTCTTTCCGCCTTCAGTCTTTCCCAGCATAAGGGTCTTTTCCAGTGAGTCAGTTCTTTACATTAGGTGGCCAAAGTATTGGATCTTCGGCTTCAGCTTCAATCCTTCCAATGTGTGTGTGAGGGGGTGTCTTTTAGCTATGTAAAAAAGAAGGTTCACTTATAATCCTTAGTCTCTGGACACCTGGGGATTAACACTAAGTCTAGATTTGAATGAGGAGGGGTGAGTTAGGGGGACATCATCTCTGTTCAGTGAGGATATGACTCTGGTTTGGATAAACTGTTTTTAAAGCCAGTGCTGAGACAACACCCCCCCCCCCCAACCCCTGCCACCTAGGTATCAAAATAAATGAGTAAATAAAATATGTGGTTTCCATAGAGGCTCCTACACCCACGTCAAGATACAGCTGCTGCCATCAGCATTGCCCTCCATGTAGCTCTGCTTTCTTCATTCACAGACTAGTGTGAATTACCTGGCCCTGCTCTTCACAAAATGTAATCTGGAAATACGGAGACCTAAATCAGACAATTAGAAGGTGATGCTTTCAGAAGCAAAAGCACTGGGAATTGTGGGTCACAGATGAGGGTCAGAAGAAGATGCTCAGAAAAATGGAGTTAGTTCTACAAAAGGTGTGACCAGTGAGAGGGCGGTGGATCCGAGCCACTAACTATCTGGAAGGCAATAGGAGGTGGAGGCAGGATTTTAAGCCAGTGATGAGATTTGCACTTGAGAAAGTTTACTCTGGCTATTGAAAGTTTGCCCTCCTAGTGACCACCAGGGTGATGTACTCACTAGATCTGCTCCTGGTCCCAGAGGTGGGGTTGGGGGTGGATGCTTTATTTATTCATTCATTCTGTTATCTTGGTAGAGGATGGAGAAGAGGCCAGGACTGTGGAGGCAGGTAGGCCATTGGTGAGGCAGTGGGTAGTGGTCCAGACAGGGGGCTGTGGTGTCTACTAGGTGGTGATGGATGAAGAAATGTCAATAAAGCTACATCATAGGAATCTAGGAGGCTTGGTAACCAGGTTTCAGGATACAAACAAGGGAGGTTCTCATACAAGTTCTCCATGGGTACCAAAAGGTGGCCTCCTGGGAAAGTGCAACACGGTGGCTATATAATTTCCTTTGCCCCTGCCCCTGCAACCCAGTAGTGGGACTCCTGGGTCCCTTCCCAGTTCCAGAAGAGCTCAGCCTGTGGGGTGAGCTATCTTGCTTATTTACCCTTTCTCCATCCACCAAGCTGGTCTGTATCTCCACCTGACTCCTGGTGCACCAGAAAGGTGATTCTAAAAGCTCACTGTGGGGATTTCCCTGGTGCTTCAGTGGCTAAGACCCCACACTCCCAATGCAGGGGGTCCAGGTTCCATCCCTGACCAGGGAACTGATCCCACATAGCACAGCGAAGATCAAAAATCTCACATGCCTCAACTGAGACCCGGTTCAGCCAAATAAGTAAATATTGAAAAATAAAATTAAAGCTCAGTGTGGCCCCTCGTGTGGCCCCTCCAGTGACCCCTCCAGGAGCGAGAACTATCTTCTTAGTCCTCCGTTTCGCCTCTGACTGACCATGATGTGTGTCCTTCTAGGAGCAGAGGGAGAGCAGGGTTCGGCGAGGCCCCCGGGGGCCCAGCGCCTTCATTCCAGTGGAGGAGGTAAGCTTGGAAGGGGTTAGGATTGTCGTTGGTCCCTGGGAGGAGAGGACATGGGGCACTAAGTGGGTGGGAGGGGTTTTCTGGTCTCTTGAAATTGCAGCTTTGAAACTACCCCTTCAGGTTGCTGACTCATTTAATCCGCAAAACAGCTCTGCTCCAAGCAGACATCTCAGCCCCATTTTACTGGGAAGAAACAAACTCCAAGAGATAAAATGCTAATAACACAGCTAGATAATGAACAAACTTGTGGTTCCCAGAACAAGACTTGTTTTTCCTTAAGAAGACAGAACTATCTGTAGTTATCTTCTCACCCTTGAATGTACATGTATTAAAGTTTTTTTTCCCCCCAACTTCATGTGTAATAGATGTTCATTATTTTAAAATTTCCAGTGTTTCAGAAAACTTTAGTTTCTTGTGATCCCAACCCCACTGAGATAATCACTGTTAAACATTTGCCACTGTTTTCCAGACTTCTTTTCATTTGGAGCCAAGGTCATAGTGTGTAACATGATTTTGTTATTTTTGTTCATTTGGGAAGTTTTTTTTTTTCATTTGGTTGTTATGTTTTGTTATTTCACATAATACATCAGAGACATCTTTCATCTAGTGAGTCAGATCATGCATTCATTTATTTAACAGGTGTCTGTTGAATGATTAATCTGTCAGGCACTGTTCTAGGTGCTGGGGATAAAGATGAGAACAAGACAAACAAAACTCCTTGCCATCACAAAACTGACATTCCAGTGGGGGGTTTGTGGTGGGGAGAACTTCAAAGCACACACACAAACAAATTAAAAAATAATCGTTTCCTTCTTTTCCTTTGGCCTTCATTGAACAAAGACAAACATTTCCTTGTCCTCCTTGCCTTCCTAAATGTGTAGGCCAAATAGTTAATGAGCTGTTAACAAACGTCTAAACTCTCCAGTTCCTTTCACCCTTTGTAAATGGATGAAAGCACGCAACTACCTGCTATAGCCCAGAATGTTAAACTCAAATATTCTTATCTTTTTTTTTTTCATTTATAAATAACTACTCTTCCTCTGTAATAAAGGAAAGAAATAGTCTTTGAACTTAATTGGGAATTGAATTCTGATTCTGTCATTTATTAGATCTGTAACCTTAAGCCTTGATTCTCTCATGTGTCAGTGGTGGAAAATAATACTATTCACCTCACAGGAAATTGGGAAGAACTGATGAGATAATATAGACAGGGAAAGCTCCAAACTCAGACCCGGTGTGGAGAAAGCACTCAAGAAATGTGAACTGTTTAGCATCTGCTTCCAATGACTGCACAGCTTTGCACCATTACTACCAAGGGCCCAGGTTCAACCCCTGGTTGGGGAACTAAGATCCCACAAGCCACGTGCCATGGCAAAAAAAAAAAAAAAAAAAGCTCTATGAAAGTAGGAGAAGCTGTATTCTAATCTCCGTGCCTGAGTCTTTCTATCTAAACTTGGAGAAAATAAGTTTCTAATTTCATATATATAATGTGTTTGAACAGTACTTGGCACATTGCAAGCATTGTATAAGTATTGACTACCATTGCATAAAGTGTCCAATAAGTATTTGATTAATCACTTAATGAAATATCTTTTCCTCCCCTGATCTCCTTTTTGTTGGACATGGTGGTTGTCTTCAGTTTCTTGCTATTAAAATCACAACGCATGCAATGAATATGTTGGTTTCTCAGGTGGGGAGGGCACGAGGGAGTCACCCTTCCTCACCTTTGCTTGGCAGGTCTTGCAGGAGGGAGCCGAGAGCCTCGAGCAGCACCTGGGGCTGGAGGCACTGATGTCCTCGGGGCGGGTGGACAACCTGGCCGTGGTGATGGGCCTGCACCCCGACTACTTTACCAGCTTCTGGCGCCTACACTACCTGTTGCTGCACACGGATGGGCCCCTGGCCAATTCCTGGCGCCACTACATTGCCATCATGGTGAGCTGGTCTGAGCCTGACTTTCGTAGGGGTGGGTTCATTGTGGGGTTCAGCCCTCAGATCTCTTTGCTGGGGTCTTGATTCTACAAACAGGAGAAGAGGTGGCTTAGAGCAGAGCCCTAGCTTTATCTGACCATCCATCGAAGTTTAGATTTTGAAGAGAGGCATTTTTTTTTTTTAAGTAGGCAATTTAATTTTTATTAAATTTAATTTTTATTTTATGTCAGAGGATCATTGCTTTACAGTGTTGGTTTAGTTTTAAGTGTACAGCAAAGTGATTTAGATATACATTTATCCATTCAAGAAGACACTGTCTCACTCCGGACCACCCAACCGGTGGCAAAGCTGGGGTGAGAACCTGTTTCCTGCCTCTCAGGCAACAGTGAGGCTTGTGACGTCTCCCTCCGTGGGGTGCCCCCCCTGAGCAGGGTGCAGGGAGGACAGGGTGACGCGGGCTCTGTCCACCGCCTCCAGGCTGCCGCCCGCCACCAGTGTTCCTACTTGGTGGGCTCCCACATGGCCGAGTTCCTGCAGACTGGCGGTGACCCCGAGTGGCTGCGTGGCCTCCACCGCGCCCCTGAGAAACTGCGCAGGCTCAGTGAGGTCAACAAGCTGCTGGCCCATCGGCCGTGGCTCATCACCAAGGAGCACATCCAGGTGCGGTGGGCGGGGAGGCGGGTCCCCGGGGGAGCGTGGGGTGGGCAGCCCGGGGCAAAGCAGCTGAGCAAGCCTGGCCTTGCCTTTTCTCTCCAGGCCTTGCTGAAGACGGGCGAGCACAGCTGGTCCCTGGCCGAGCTCATCCAGGCCCTGGTCCTGCTCACACACTGCCACTCACTGGCCTCCTTCGTGTTCGGCTGTGGCATCCTCCCTGAGGGGGACCCTGAGGGCAGCCCCGCCCCCCAGGCCCCTTCGCCCCCCAGTGAGCAGAGCACGCCCCCCAGCAGGGACTCGCTGAACCACTCTGGGGTAAGTCAGGGGCCTGAGTCTTGGTGGGGGAGGAAGCTGGGGGCCCCTGGCCCTTGGGTAGAAGACAGCGCCTCCCTGTCTGCAGCTGCTTCCTTATCACACCCTGGGAGACCTTAGAAAAGTCTTTTATTTTTTTAAGGTATATTTCTTTATTTTTGGCCGCACCGGCTCTTCCTTGCTGTACCCGGGCTTCCTTTAGCTGCAGCCAGCGGGGCTACTGTTTGTCACGGTTCGCAGCTCTAGGGCGCTGGCTCAGGAGTTGCAGTGCGCAGGCTTACTTGCCCTGTAGCATGTAGAGTCTTCCCAGACCGGGGATCGAACCCATGCGCCCTGCATTGGCAGGCAGATCCTTAACCACTGGACCACCTGGGAAGCCCTGTCATTTGGTTCCGAAACTCAGTTTCCTCATATGGAAGATGAGGATAAAGACTCCCTCATCATAAAGGGTTGCGAGCCTGAGGTGAAATAACCACGCGACTGGCCTCAGCATGGAACCCCTTGGGCTTAAAGTAGCTGACTTTCACCACTTTAACAATACAAAGTTTGCCTCTTATTCTGTAAAGTGGCCTTGGTTGTGTGTATTTTAAAAATACAGATACTTTAAAAAGCCCTTTCCTGTGAGGGGAGTCAACCCTCAGAGAAGACCTGTCTGTTCTATAGCTGCTTAAACATCACTTCGGAAGCACAGGCCACATGAGCTGCCCAGCTCAGAGGAGGCCCTGGGCCTTCATGATTGCCCAGGAAGGCCCGGCATGTGAGAAGGACGTGTGGGGTTTCTGGGGTCAAGGGAGAAGGGGTGGATGGTCGCCACCGGGTCATTCCTACAGGGCTTTGAGGCTGCCCGCGACGTGGAAGCTCTGATGGAGCGCATGAGGCAGCTGCAGGAGAGCCTGCTGCGGGACGAGGGCGCCTCGCAGGAGGAGATGGAGAGCCGCTTCGAGCTGGAGAAGTCAGAGAGCCTGCTGGTGACCCCCTCAGGTACAGGGTCTCAGGCATCCAAGTTCAGGGGCCACCCCCTCCTTGCACCCTCTCTGCTGGGAAGCTGGCATCTTCATGTTACTGCACCTCGGTAGCCACATCCCAGCCACCACTTCCAAGAAGTTCTGAGCATGGGCTCTGGGGTCAGGCCTGCTGGCCTTTCTTCTTTCTTTTTGGCCAGGCCATGTGGCATGCAGGATCTTAGGGATCTTAGTTCCCTGACCAGGCATGGAGCCCAGGAAAGGCAGATTCTCAACCTCTGGGCCGCCAGGGAAGTCTCCTGGTAGCTTTTCTGGCAGTGTGACCACTGATAAGTCGCTTGCTGTCTCAGGTCCCAGCCTCCTCCCCCGTGGGGGATTCGTGTGTAGGGGAAATGAGACAACAGAAGCAAAGCGCTGAGCACAGAGCCTGGCCCAGGGTAAGCAGCTCCATAAGTAGCCACTGTTGTTAGGATTGCTATTGTTATCACTGGGGGCGTTAGCCCCTGGACCTGAGTTACCCCCTCCCCCAGGCCCTCCTGCCGAAGTCCTGGTTCCACTCACTGTGGTGAGGGCCTTTCTCAGGCCCCCTATTCCACATTCCCCAGTACCCCCTCCCCATTGATGATTAATGGGGAGTGGAGGCCTCTGTGCTCCGTGCCTTGGCCTCACTGTGACCTCTTTCTGACATCCTCAGCGGACATCCTGGAGCCCTCTGCAAACCCAGATATGCTGTGCTTCGTGGAAGACCCCACTTTCGGATATGAGGACTTTACCCGGCGGGGGACTCAGGCACCCCCCACCTTCCGTGCCCAGGTAGGCTCTCCCTACTGGTCTTAGCATTGCTTTTTAAAAATTAATGAGCTAGTATTTTTTTGGACTGCCCTGGCTCTTCACTGCTGTGTACATGCTTTCTTTAGTTGTGGTGAGCAGGTGCTTCTCTGTTGCGGTGTGAGGGCTTCTCACTGCCGAGCACAGGCTCAGTAATTGTGGTTCAGGGGCTTGATTGACCCACAGCATGTGGGATCTTCCCAGACTAGGGATGGAACCCATGTCTTCTGCCTTGGAAGGTGGATTCTAAGCCACTGAAACTCCAGGGAAGTCCCAGCATTGCTTTACAAACAAGCAGGAGTGGGTAGTTTGTGTGATCAGAGTTTGGGCACCTTCTCTCCCTCAAGATTCCACGAAAGAAGTGGGAGACCCTGAAGGTGAAAAGACCCAGCTGGGTCCTAAGCTCAGGGGATCCTGACCACAGGAAGGAAGTCATCACCAAGCTGCATCCTCCTCAGCTTCTCAGGTCCAGACCAAGCAGCAGGTTAGATTTGCGGGGGTGGAGACAGGCATTATGGAGATCCCAGCTGTGCTGCAGAAGATGGTGTCCTTTTGGCCAGCCTCAGGCCCCAAGGATTCCACTCACGGACCCACCCCTTTCCATGTTTCTCAGGATTATACCTGGGAAGACCATGGCTACTCACTGATCCAGCGGCTCTACCCTGAGGGTGGACAACTGCTGGATGAGAAGTTCCAGGCAGCCTATAGCCTCACCTACAACACCATCGCCATGCACAGTGGAGTAGATACTTCCATGCTCCGCAGGGCCATCTGGAATTATATCCACTGTGTCTTTGGCATCAGGTGAGTGCAAGTCCCCTCATCCAATCATGGTGTACCACAAGACCTCCATCTGAGCTCACAATTGTTTCCTTTTTCTTTGTTTTTCTCTCTCTTTCTTCCTGCCTATACTGTTCTTCAAAGCAAATGTATTTCTTGGCTGATTATGAAAGATAATAGCCATGCTTAGTTTTTGAAAGTCTTTAGTTCCACCCCCAGAAATAACTAAGGAGATCATACACACACACACACAAGTATACTTACATACATACACATATATATACATACAAAGAGAGTAATGTTTGTATTTCCATTCCAAATAGCAGTTCTTCTCTCATAATAAAGAAAAGCAACAGAAATGCCCAATGGTGAAATTCAGTTTTTAGTAAATGTAGGAAAAAAGAGATAACAAAAAGAAGAGAATAAAAATCATTCATGATCCCACCTGCTCTTACTATTGTCAGGTATTGGCTCGGTCAAAAAGTTCATTTGGGTTTTTCCGTTATCATCTTATGGAAAAACCTGAATGCATTTTTTGACTAACCCATTATTTCCTTCCTGTCTTTTCTTTCCATGCACAAATACTCAATTGTACATAATTTTACAAAAATAAGACTTTCTTGTCTACTCCTTTATTTTACTCAGTTTAATCAAGTAAGAGCATATTTTAATGAACATGATTTTTTCCCTTGCTTTTCTAGTTTAACTGTTTATTCTAAGTATCAAAAAACAACAGAAACAAAAAACAGAAATCCCCAAAGTTTTGAAAAGGTGCACATTCCTTGGAGAAAATGTGCATTTCTGTATGTTACTAGCTGTGGATCACATTTCACTACGTGGGTTGAGCTGTGCTTAATTGACCAGTCTCCCACTGGCCAACCTCACTGACAACTTTCTAATCCAGGGAAGGCCAAGGATGGATGGGCATCTTAGGGTGCCCACTGTGACCTCTCTTGCTGCCAGGCTTCCAGGTCAAGGATGCCCCACTATGCAACATGGCCCTCGATCCTAAACCTCTGTTTACCAAATCTGCCCTCTAGTCTAAAACCAGTCTTCCTTATCCACGCTGATCTGTGATGACTCACTGGCTCACTGGACTGGGGAGGGACATAATAGCTTCTAGACTTGTCAGCAACTTGCCCTTTGACTTTGAACAAGCTGATTGCCTTCCGTAGGCCTCCGTTTGCCCATCAGTGAAATGACTACCAATTTCTTTTTCCCTTTCCCTCTTCCTTCTCCAGGGTAAATTTTCACACTGATCTCCTGCCCCATCTGCCATGCATGGCCTTAGCTGTAAAGTGGCGACTATGAGCGTGGAGGCAGGCAGAGCTGGGTTTGAATTCCATTCCCAGCTGTGTGACCTGGGACTTCACTTCTCTGAACCTCTATTTCATCTATAAAATGAGACTGACGAATACAGTACGTTGTATACAATAGTTTTGTATCCAGTCCTGTACTGAAGTTTTGAGGATATGTTCACATGGTCAGTGCAGTGTGCTCAGCCTCTGTGCATTCCCTTGTGAGTCCAGTACCCTGTGATATATGATATTAGCTGCTTTTCTAAGAGGAACCAAGCTTCTAGCTGCTTCCTACCTTCTGCCTTTTCTTGCCGCTCTCTGTTCCCCCTTCTGCAGGGTGGGGCTGGGGAAGAGGAGCTCTGTGGGAGCGGAGGTGCGAGTGATTCTTTCTGGGTCTTTCCATTCAGATATGATGACTATGACTACGGGGAGGTGAACCAGCTCCTGGAGCGGAACCTCAAGGTCTATATCAAGACAGTGGCCTGCTATCCGGAGAAGACCACCCGAAGAATGTACAACCACTTCTGGAGGCACTTCCGCCACTCTGAGAAGGTGCGGCTCTCAGGGGAGGAACAGGATGGAAACCTGTGGAGGAGGCGAGGGCTCGGGACCCAGTGAGGTCCTGACCCAGGGATCCAACCTGCATCTCTTCATGTCTCCTGCATCGGCAGGCAGGCTCTTTACCATGAGTGCCTGCTGGGAAGCCCATTTACTCACCTGTAAAATGGGTGTCCTCAGTGACAGCCGGAAGGACCTGGGTTCAAATCATAACACTATCACTTGGGAGCTGTGTGACCTTGGGCAGGTCATTTTGCCTCTCCGAGCTTGTTTTCTTGACAATAAAAATTAAAAACTGCCTGCATTTCAAGGTTGTTGGGAGGATGAAGTGAGAAAATGAAGGTAAACCTCTGATCCCAAATAAATGCTCAGAGGTAGCTGTAGTTTTTAGCTTTGGGGGATAACGAGATTAGTCATGACCGAGATCAATGTGCTTGAAATTCTTCCACAGTCCTTGCACCAAGTTACTCAGAGCCTTAGGAAAGGGAAGGATGAAATGGGTGGTCAGGGATGACGGCACTCTGGGAGGGAAGGGGATGGTGAGAAGTGACATCAGTTGCCAGCAAGCCCTCGTCTGTGCCCCCAGGTCCACGTGAACTTGCTACTACTGGAGGCCCGCATGCAAGCCGCCCTGCTCTATGCCCTTCGTGCCATCACCCGCTACATGACCTGACTCAATGCAAGACCTGCGCCTGGAACAGCTGACCCTGGGGGGCCTCCTCGATGCAAGGACTTCTCTGGAGACAGACCCTAATCTCTTCCTGTCCCATACCCACCTACCCTACTCTGGGGGTGGGCCTGGGGTGTGACGTGCAGCCCCCCCCAGCCACACCCTCCTTCTCACTGGAATGGACAGGACCATCGCACTGACTCTGGTATCTCAGCTCTGACCCTGGGGTGTGGGGGGCTGGCAGAGGACTAGCGGATTCCCAGGTGCCAGCCCCTCCTAACCGCCCTTACCCTCAGAGGCCAAGGGCACAGGAAGGAAAATGGACTGAGCACGGACTTGTGTGCCAGCAGGCAGGGGCCCAGGCAGCACAAGTACTTTGGCCTTCCTGGCCTGGGGAGTCCCTGGCTGGCCCCCAGGGAGAGGGGCAAACACCTCCAGGGACTGACACTCCAAGCGGCTTCACCTCTCTCCTCCAGCTTCCTCCTCCGCAAGATTTCATTACCTCCCACCAGCCATTCACCCATCAATGTGAAAGTCAGGGTCACAGCCAGTCTGTGCATCTGGCTCCCCAGAAGCCCGTTCTGTCCAGCAGCCCACAGGCTCCTTGCTCCCTGGTCATGCCAGTCCTAGTTCAATTCCCTTGACCCCCCTTTGCCCTCTTACCCTTTTCTCCACCACCTGTTGGAGGGAGGCCCCAGGAGAGAGACCAAGCCCGTCAAACAAGTAGATTATCTCTAGAGAGTTCGAAGTCTCTCTTGGTTATTTTGCCTTCAGACGAGGAGGGAGTATTATATGATAAATTCTCTGCGTTTTGATTTTTCATGAGTGAGGTTCTTCACTGCCCACCCCTAGAGCCTCAGGCAGTGTCTGAGAGGAGAGCAGGAGTGTCTCCCCAGGGCTGAGCTACCTGGCAGAGGCTGGCACTCCACAGTCTCTCATCTCCCCTGGCTCTGCCACAGATGTTTGCCAAAAAAGTGAGCCTTTCCACATGGTTTCAGTGGCTCAGGGAGACAGGCACGAGACCCCAAGTTTCCTGCGTGGGCCCTGTCATGGCCAAGTGAGCCCAGTTTCCACAGTTAGACTGAGGGGCAGGACTATATCTCGTGATGTCTGGGCCTTTGCTCAGATTCTGAGGCCAGCCTGCCAGCAGCCAGCTGCACGCATTGCAGGATCCCAAGGGCCTCTGGGGATTTTACACACACACACACACACACACACACACACACACACACCCCTACACACACACACACACACACACACACCTACACACACACACACACCCCTACACACACACATACAGCCTACACACACACACACACCCGCCTGCAGTCAGTCTCTCCAGGCTCCCTGCCAAGGACCTTCCTACCCCCATCCCAGTTTCTGTCCGTTCTCGGTTGATTTTAGGTGGATCCCTTGGAGGCAAAAGCAGCCAAGGACTGATCCCAGGCACTTTCTGTAGCAAACAAACTGTGAATTCTGACTTCCCTTGCCCTTTTTCCGGCCATAGATGCCTCCCCTCTGACCAGCTGGGAGGGGACTGGAGAAAGGCAAGGGCCAAGATGCTGCTGCTTCTGACCCTCCTCTCTGGGGCAGGGCAGGAGAGGAGCCTGGTTCATTGTGCCACATTTCATACCCGTGCAGGCATGGGCGAGCGACTGGCACCCCTTTCCGGCCTCAAAGCCCTCCCTGCAGTGAAGCTGAATAGGAGGGAAGAGGCCCCAGCATTGGGGTTTGGATTCTAGAGGGGACGTGATGACCGTCAGTGTCTCCAGGTGGCTGGGGAGGGGTATCCAGTGTTCAACTGCAGAAATCTTTGCCTTTGCTACCAGTTCTGTATGATGAGAAATAAAAGTTCACCAAGGTTTTGTTTTGTACTTCTTGTTACTGGGCTGTTTTTCCATTTCCTGGGGGTCATGGTTCACCTCTTAGCATAAGCAGGGAGCTGCGATTGCATCAGGGACCTGACCTCGCAGCCCTTACCCTGCTGAGCATTTGTGCCAGTGACCGCAGGATTGGGAGTGGTTGGCACTCAAAGTCTACTTTTGTCCCTTGGGTGTCCAGCCCTGCCACCCCCTGTGGCTGGCCTGGCACTATGGAATAATAATGGCTGTGTTGTTTTCCTCACTCAGCCTGGCCCCAGACTGGGTACTTGGAGGTCATTTCTCTGAATCTGCAGCAAAATCTTGCAAGAGAATTGAGACTCAGGGGTTGAGTGGCTTTGCTGAGACCATTTCAGGTCAATGATGGGAGTCAGGATTCCAACTGGGGTCAACGTGATCTTGAGACCACGGCATTTCACCTTGCTGTTTTCCCACTACCGAGTTCCTCCTGAGGCAGAAGGAGGATATGTGAGAATTTCTTGGAGGACCCTCTGTTTCTCCTGCCCTGTCACTTCATTCTTTCTGGCTTCTCACCCGTCCCTCGCTCCCTCCCCAGAACAAAGGAGACAGGCATGAGGAGTTAATATGACTCCAAGTTGTGCCAGTGCCACTTAGTAGTAGCTGTGTGACCTTGGTCAAGCGTCTTAGCTTCTCTGGGCATCAGGAACTCCAGCACAGTTATCGGAAAAACCACATTATGACTAAGAGGTTAAGACCGCTCCTGCTGGTTTCCCACTTCCTCTTAATGCTGCGTCACAAAATGAAAACCAGGTCTCCTCCAGGAAGCCTGCCCTGATTGACTTCCCTGTAACCCTTTCCTCCCTTCATTTTTTAAAAATTCATGTATTTTTTAAAATACTTATTTGGCTGTACCAAGTCTTATTTGCAGCATGCAGGATCTTTAGTTGTGGCATGAAAACTCTCAGCTGTGGCATGTGGGATCCAGTTCCCTGACCAGGGACTGAACTCCGGTCCCCTGCATTAGGAGCACAGAGTCTTAGCCACTGGACCACTAGGGAGGTCCCCTTTAAATTTGTTTTTGATTGAGGAATAATGGCTTTATAATGTTGGGTTGGTTTCTGCTGTAGGACAACGTGAATCCGCTACATGTACACATGTATCCCCTCCTCGGGTCTCCCCGCCATCCCACCCCTGTGGGTCATCACAGAGCACCGAGTTGGGCTCCCTCTGTCATACGGCAGCTTCCCTCTAACCATCTGTTTTACACGTGGTAGTACATAGCCCCGCTTCATTTTTGCAATGTTCCTATACACTTTTTCCTGCCTTCTACAGTCATTTGAGAGGGTGGGAGAGAAAATAAGTCAGACTTGGAGTACAGAACTTAGATTCTGGTCCTGACTTAGCCATCTATTTTCCTGGGAGGGGGAGGGTTGATTCGTTTCACAGTGTCTCAAGTTTGCAAAACGTTTTGTTTTCCAGGTAGCATTACTAAGTGACTGTTGCCTAATGTAATAGCTCCATCTTCACAGCAACCCTGTGAGAAAGGAGCGATGGTCCCATTTTACAGATGTGGAGGAACCTCAAGTTACAGTCTAAGAACATGATAGGCAGAACCAGGTTCAAATTCCAACCCTGACACTTAATGTTTGACCATAAGCAAGTTACTTCAATTCTCTCTCCTCGAGTTGCTTATCTATGCAGCAGAATGAATACCTAGGGTCACGGGAGGGTTGTGTGGATCAAATAATGCTTGGAAAGCACCTAGTACAGTTCAGGTACCTCAAACTAAGTCACTCTGTATTCAGAAACCTGCTCAGCATCACAGAAGAGAGACAGAATTTGAACCCTTGTCAGTCTGACCCCAGAGCATTACTTTAGTCCCAAACCCCCTATGCCCTCAGTCTGCATCTCTAAAACTCATGTTGAAGTTGACTTACCTGTAGAATTGAAAACTACTGGCTCCAAATTGGATCAAATGAATCTGTTTTAGACTTCTGCAACCTGCAGTCCAGGACCTGGGCATTTTTACCCAGGTTGGAGTTAGTGGAAACTTTTCAGTAGCTTGACTCTTGGTTGGTCTGGCTTTTGAAGACTGGCTAAGAGTAGGTAGAAACAGGAGCTGGATGAGTCTCTGGAAGATTTCAAACATTCACCAGAGCCCTGGGACAAGTGGAATGGAGAAGTGGCTCACAAATTCTTTGTGCCTCAGAATCTCCTAGAGGGTCAGTGTTTAGAGGTGGAGCTCAGAAACTTGCAGTTTTAACAGCTTCCCTGCTGTTCTGATGCCAAGGTCATTCTTTCATTCAACAACAGATAGTATGCACCTAATATGTAAATGCCCTGGACACAGACCAGTGGAAAAGACAGGCATGGCTCCTGCCTTCTTGCAATTTATTATCTAGCGAAGGAGACAGATATTAAATCATTACACAACTAATTGTTTCAATTATAATTGCGATCAGCACCTCAAAAGGAGAGATTCAAGGTGCTGTCAGAATATTTTCAACCTAACATCAGAGGCTTTTCTTCCAAGGAAATATGTTGGATTTCTGCAGAAATGAGCACACACCCAAGAGGAGCAATTTCCCACCCTCCCATTTCCAAGCACCTTCTGGGAACCCAAAGTCTCCATGGAATAGTTAGGAAACTGCTAACCTACATTCCTCTGTAATGGATGCTGTTGTGTGCAACACAGACTGTGTCAGACACTCCTTCCTACACCCCACACTCCGTTGGGAGAGTGGATTGCTGAGTGCCTTTCTGGGAACTGCCCTGAGTTGAAGGGAACAACCAAGTTTACGGTTATGTCCCACCAGGCAATCTAGTCTTGCCTCCAAGGCCTGGTGGATGGGAGAGGCGTATACAAAGGTCTGACCTCTTTGACTCCATTTGAAGCAACTCCAGGATCGTCCCAGCTCTACTGCTCCCTTCATGATCAGCTGAGGCCCATGTTGCTGCTGCGCTTGCCGTCCAAATTCTGTCTGATTCTGATCCCCAATAAACCTATGCAGATTTCCATCTCAGAGTCTGCTCACCAAGGTACTTAGCCTAAAACACGCTTATTGCAGATGGTGAAAGTAAAGACCAGAGAGGAGAAATTTCTTGCTTGTGGTCTCACAAGCCTGAATCTTTAGACCCCCTTCAAAGTTTGTCACCACCCTATGACAGAGTCCAACAACTTCCTGTCTCAACTTTCTTTTCCTAAGGCTGGAGGCGACCGCTGCGATACTGAAAGGGCCGCAAATTTCCTCTCTCCCATCCCCACTGCCAAGGCTAGAGACCTTGGACAAATTACTTGCCATCTCTGGGGAGAATGTTAAGTACACTCTGAGTGTCCTACCTTCTCTTAAGCTACCCCATGGCATGGCCCTAGTTCTGAGAAAAACCATGTCTCAGCTGGAAGAGCTTCTTTCCCCTTCTCTCTGAATCACCTCTAATCTCAGTGTTGCTTCCCGTTCAGGGAAGCCTTGAGCTTCTGTCCCAGTTCCAAGTTTCTAAACTCACCTCCCAAGGAGGAGCCCCTTTTCTAAGTTCATGCCCACATCATCAGGTGCTTACATTGTTGCAGACACTGCTGGAAAGAGACACAGCAGTCAAAGAGACAGACACAGTCCGGCCTTCAAGGACCTTAAAACCCAGTGTTAAAGATGAACATCCCGCAAGTACTTTGATGAGTCCTGGGCGGAAGACGACAAAATGCACAGGGTGCCACGAGAACACGCAGCAGGGGAATGTCCACACTCAGGATGGGAGTCCCCAGAGAAATACCTTGGACATGAAGGATGAGAAAGACAGTCAAGGATGGGAGGAGAGAAAGGGGATGGGACAAAAAACGATTTCTGGCTGGGACTTCCCTGGTGGTCCAGCAGCTAAGACTGCATTCCCAAGGCAGAGAGGGGGCCGGGGTTCAATCCCTGGTTGGGGGACTAGATTCCACAGCCACAGCAAAAGATCCCACATGACTCAACAGAGAAGATTCCACATGCCACAAATAATACCTGACACAGCCAAATAAATGAATAAGTATTATTTTATTAAATAAAAGATTTCTGGTAGAGGAAACGACACATGAGAAGATTGAAAACAGGAAGGCAGCCTGGCAGGGGCAGAGAGATCAGAGAGAATATGAGGAAGGGGGAGGTAAGGAGAAAGCCCAGGGCAAGCCAGTCATATTAAGAATTTTGAACTTTATCCTATTGGCAGGGGGAAGTCTTCAGAGGAGAGCTTGCTATTTATGACAAAATAGACACTGTGGATTGAATGTCCGTGTCCCTCTCGAATTCATATGTTGAAACTCTAAATCCCAGTGTGATGTTATTTGAAAACAGGGCGTTTGGGAGTTAATTAGGTCATGACTGTTCACCCCTCTTGATGGGATTACTGACCTTATGAGAAGAGACAGGAGGGAGCT